TAATAATAATAATAATAATAATATAGGAAATCCTCTAAATGCTCTGATGGTCATTTGGAAAAATCCTTCCTTAGTGAGCACTTAGAAGCCAAGAGGAACATAGGTGCCCAATTTCAAGTTTGTATGTTTTACGGTTCTGGAGATTTTGTGATGATGCATGAGTGGTATTTCACTTTTATAGATAGATAGATAGATAGATAGATAGATAGATAGATAGATAGATAGATAGATAGATAGATAGATAGATAAGGAGGGAGTGAGTTTGATATGATGGAAAGAAGGAGGGAAGGAAGGATGGATGGATGGATAGATGGATAGACAGACAGAGAGACAGACAGACATGTATAAAATACATATCCATGTATATACATACACATATACTGTACATTCACTCACACACACACACACACACACACACACACACACACACACACAAACAGATGCAAACATGAATAAGAGAGCCGGAAAGTAACCAGCTGCGAAAGATTAAAGTTGGAAGTTTTGCTAATCCTGGTTGCTGTAAAAAAAAAAAAATCCACCTTTTCCTGAGAATTGAAAGGCTTCCCCTCCCCATCCTTTCCTGGTGCCCCTCCTTGTTTTTTGCCGGCTGCCGTAATCCTGGGGCGCTTTCCCCTTCCTGCCCTGGCACCCCTTTCTCTGCCCTGGGTACCACTCTGGAATTCGCGTGCTCCGTCCCTCCCGGCTCCATCTAGACTGGGGGGGGGGGAGGAGGCGTTGGTGGGGTGAGGACAGGTGGGTGTGTTGGCTGGGGGAGAAAGTTTTGGACCTTCCCTTCCCGGGAGGGGAAGGGGGAGGTGGGGGGAGGTGGTGGCAGCCGATTGGGGGGTGCCAATGCCCCATTCCTGCCTCGCAACCAATGACGTGCTGTCGGAGGAGGGGCGCCCCATTGAGAGAACCAGCACCTTGGTGTTTACTCTTGGCAGCAGTGTGTGCAGCCCTAGACTGTGCTGGAGGGGAGGGGCCGAGCGTGTCGGGGAGGTGGGGTGGGGGGGAGAACGGGGAGGAGGAGGAGGAGGAGGAGGAGGGGGCTGTCAGCGAGGATGGGCTATAAGAGAAGGCAGCGAGGAGGAGAGCAGGCAAGAGTGGGCGTGAGCAGGCTGTGTTTGCAAAGACAGCCAGAGCTGATCTAGGGCGGCCTGGAGACGGGGCTGGGGGGGGGACACACGACGACACACCGGGGGGCTGCTGTTGTGAGCAGTGGGGGGGGGTCTCTCCCCCTCTTCTCTCCCCGCTCAGGTCTCCACCGCCCCCGAGGAGAAGGAGAAGGCGTGACTGCTCCGTCTGTCCATTCGGTGTTCCTTGGGGATGCTCCTGGCCCTCGGAATCCCGACGCCCGGAGTTACTGACGGCCTCCTCTCCCGACCCTCCTTGCTCTCCAGCTGTTTTTGCCAAAGATTTCCTACCACTTCCTGGCTCTCGGCGCTCCCCCTCCCGCCGGACATCTCCCTCAGGCCCAAAGCAGGTGTCTCCGGGACCTCCGGCTGTCAGTTGGCCAGCCGGCGGCGGCGGCGGCGGCTGCTGCTTTGGAGACGGAGTTCAAAGGGGGGCGTGGAGCAGAGAGAGAGAGAGAGAGAGAGGGGCGATCTCGCTTGCTGGCAACCGCCGAGGCTCCCCCACCCATCCACCGGCCGTGCTGTGCCGAGCCCCGCCACCACGGTGTTTCCACCCACCGGAGGATGAGAAAATAACCCCGGCTTGGACTGAGCATCCGAAGGGGGAGTGTTCGGTGAGTCGGCGGCACAGCATCAGGACATCAGCATGGTCCAGCAACGCAGCAGCACGCGGAGTCGAGGAGTAGAAGCAAAACAGGAGGCGTGTTCCAAAGGCGGTTTGCTGTTGAAAGATGGCACGGGCGAACCGGACTGGTGCAAGACGCCCAGCGGGCACATCAAGCGCCCCATGAACGCCTTCATGGTGTGGTCTCAGAACGAGCGGCGGAAGATTATGGACCAGTGGCCCGACATGCACAACGCCGAGATCTCCAAGCGGCTGGGACGGCGCTGGCAGTTGCTTCAGGATTCGGAGAAGATCCCATTCGTCAAGGAGGCCGAACGGCTGCGCCTCAAACACATGGCGGACTATCCCGACTATAAGTACCGGCCCAGGAAGAAAGGCAAACTGGGCAGCGCCAAAGCTCGGTCCAGGGTGCCCGTCAAGATTAAACCCTCCGTTCTCGGACGGGCAGCTTCGCCCCGGAGGCAGGCGCCGAAGCCGGATCCTGAAGGCCAGGGGGGATGCGCCTCTCCAAAGCCGGATGAGGACCCCTTGGAAGCCCGCATCCTGGAGGTATCGTTTGACGAGGGTCCCAAAACCTCCAGCAAGGAATTCTGGCACGTGCTTCCTACCGGGGGCGAGAAAGGAGAGTGGGAAGCCAACGCCGGCCAGGTCAAAGACGCCGAAGCCAGCGCGCTTGCGAAGCCTTGGTCCTCCTCCGACGTGTCTTCTCCTGCTTCTACGAGGTCGCCATCGTCATCATCTTCTTCTTCCTTCGCCTCCTCGGACGACGAGCCGGAGGAAGATCTTTGGAACGTCGTGCCCAGCCGTATCCAGCCAAACACGCCCCCTTGCCGGAGCCCGGACTGGTCGGTCTTCGATAAAGATTTGGATCTTTTTCCTTTGGGCGCCTCGTCTCATTTTGAGTTCCCCGATTACTGTACCCCAGAAGTGACTGAGATGATTGCAGGGGACTGGCTGATGTCCAGCATTTCGGACTTGGTCTTTACGTACTGAATCCTCCCAGGGAACTCTCGCTTCTCAACAATCAGGTGGTTCCGGATAAAGAAAGAAAGAAAGAAAAGAAAAGAAAAGACAAAGAGAGAAAGAGAGAAAAAGAAAGAGAAGAAAAAAAATAAAACCCAGCTGTTTACATGCAGAATCAGGTATCTCCACAGCTTGCCTTGGCTTCATTCAAAGGCAAGTCCTCCACCAACCCCCCCCCCCCCCCCCCTTCTCCCCCCCCCCCCCCTCCCCCCCCCCCCTCACCCCAGCACACACCCACTTGGCCAGCCTCTCCCGCCTTGCTCGGGGAGGCTGCCCGTCACTTCTCAACCCACCCACCCTTTTCTCTTCTCTCCACCTCGAAGCCACCCTGGCTTGGGCACCGTGTTTATTTACCCATGAAATTTGACTGTCTCGTCTGGTTTTGCCTTGTAATCCTCTCCGACGGCTCGTCGCGGATCCTTCCACCCATCTCTGCAGCTGCTTCCCAGCACGGATGGAAGGATGGATGCCATCTATGCCGATACAGCCCT